CCTGGCTTTTGAGCCCTTTAAAAATAATACAGAGGGAGCCGGGTATGGTAGCACATACATGTGATCCCCACACCCAGGAGGCTGGCTAGCCTGGGCTACATAGTAAGAAGAAAAAAAAAAAACAGGGAAGGAAGCGGGGAACATAAGAATTTAACTGTGTTATGTACGTGTACCAGCTGCTCATAGTGAATGTAATCATTATGTACTGCAAACATGTACTAATAAAAATATAAAAGAAAACCCATATTCTTTACTCAGGACCTGCTGGTTCTCCATCTGGTAAGATTTTGTCCCCAGACAAATTTGGTAATGTATAAAGACATTTTTTGTTGTTACAACCCTTGGGGTGGCTTGTGCATGCTGTTGCATCTTATGAGTAAGGGCCACGGATACAAACACATTGCAGCCCAAAGGCCAGCCCACTGAGCACAGCATGGTCCCTCTCCACATGTCAGCGAGGGGCTGTGCTCTAGAAAGGGGTAATGACTTCCCCAAGTCCTGTTACTTAGCGGAACACCTGAACAGCAGGTGTGGAGGTACCATTCATTTCAACATCCCTTCCTTAGAAGAATTTTTGTGGGGCTGGGGATTTAGCTCAGTGGCACAGCGCCTGCCTGGCAAGCGCGACATCATGAGTTCGATTCCCGGTACCAGAAACAAGCAAAAAAAAAAAAAAGAAGAATTTTTGTAAATTTTTGTAGCACTTCTTTTTCTTTCTTTTTTTTTAGGGTTTGTGAAACAGGATCTGACAATAGTGATAGTCGACAAAGGAGTTGTGAATACTTTGTTGACAGTCTTTTCGAGGAAGCTCAGAAGGTCGGAGCCAAATGCTTATCCCCCACAGAACAGAAGAAACAGGTAAGAGTATATGGTTGTTTTTCTCTTTCTGCATTTCTCAAAATATGGAACTTTGTCTGTGTGCGTGTCTTTGTTTTTTTGAGACATGATCTCATTCTGCATTTCAGGCTGGCCTTGAACTCACTTTGTAGCCAAGGCTGGCCTTGAACTCATAGTGATCTCCTGCCTCAGCCTCCCGAGTGCTGGGATTACAGGCTTGCACCACCAAATCCGCCCTAAATACAAACTTTTGATAAGTCCCTGAGGTCAAAACTTTTTCATAATATCAAAGAAAATATCAACCATTTTCAGGGTTGACCTTGAATCAATATTGCAGAAACACTGGTGAGTAAAACTGCTGATATCCTCGCAGGAACCAAGACGGCAGCAACAAACTGAACTAGAAATATTACATTCTCAGCTAGGTGTGGTAGGGCAAACGCACTTACTTAATTGAGTCACCCATGGAGGTTGGATGCAGAGATAAGTTTATAGCCAGCGGTGGGTACTCAGTACATGTCCAAGCACCAACCCTGAAGGGCAGGAAGGAAGAATAGTTGTACAGTTGTAGTTCCGGATCTAGTTCCGGGCCTAGGTGATACTGATATGATTTGGTGTAGCTATAGAAATACTCCTACAAAGCATGAGCTAAGGAACAATGGTGTTTGACATTTTATGTAGGGAACAAGCAGTCTTATGACAAAGACTGGGTTAGGTAACTATGACAATATTTACAGGAAACATACATAAGGAAACAGAAACTCAAGCTTTAACATGGCACTAGAGTACAAAGTGGCATTGGTTTCTTATATCAGGTTTGGTTTTTTTTGACATAGCAGTTTTATTAAGTCCCAGACCTTAAACACATCTTCACAGTATGTGAACCAGAGATAGCATTTCCACACTACACAGAGATGGCTTCAGGGAAAGCCCGGGTGTTTGAGGTAGAAACTGAACTATCTGCTTTTTCTTGGCAATTTTTACATGAGGGAATGATTTATACCTGGGCTGTGGTTTACACAGACTTGGATATTTCACATTCCATTTCTGGTGGCACTTCAAGGAAAACAACCTCCAGATTTGTTGCAAACAAAATTTTACTAAACCAACATTTTTAGTGAAAATAGAAATTTGGGGGAATTGCCATCATATACCTGACGTTTTCCCAAAACTTGAAAAGTTTCCTGGGCTGGGCATATAGCTCAGCAGCACAGTACCTGCTTGGCAAGCACAAGGTCCAAAGTTCGTTGTTTTCTCCCTTATCTCTGGTTTTCATTTTTTGTTTGGTTTTGTTTTGTGATACTGGGAATTGAACCCATGGAATATTTTACATTTGAAGTTTCCTATAAGGAATACATAAAATATATGGTAACTTTCTGAGACAGGGTCTCACTATCTAATTGACACTGGCCTTGAGCTCACTATGTAGCCCAGGCTGGCCTTGAACTCATAGTGGTCCTCCTGCCTCAGCCTCCTAAGTGCTGGGATGTGCAAGGATGCCTGACTTAAAGGTCACAGAACTTTGCACAGGCACATGCGTGTGTGTTTCACTGAAATTGAACCCAGGAACTTTGGAGTGAGCTACATCCCCAGACTGGGCTAGAACTTGAGACCCTCCTACCTCAGCCTTCAGAGTGCCAGAATTATAGATGTACACCACCGTGCCTGTCTTTAAAGGACTTTTGATCTACTACTATTACATTTTATTGACATAATACAACTTCTTCTTACTACTTTGCAGGTAGATGTAAATATAAAATTATGGAAAAATGGATTTACAGTTAATGATGATTTCAGAAGTTATTCTGATGGTGCAAGTCAGCAGTTTCTGAACTCCATCAAAAAGGGGTAAGCAGTCTTTGTGAGTAGGATATTCTAGGCATGTTTTATTTTATTTTATTTTATTTT